CTTGGACCTTGTGCTTGCAAGGAGGGTGGCGGAATCACTGAGCTAAATCCCTGTCTGGCAGCAATGTTGATTTTTAGCTGCCGTGTTTGGGGTGGCTTCTTGACCTTCAGGTCACACAGCACACAGAGGCCTCCCCGGCCTAGTCCCTGGAGAAAGTGTGCCAGTTTTGGGGCTGGGCCTCACCGGGCCTTGCAACTTCTGCTTTTTTCTTGGATCCCTGCTACCCCCTTGTGGACAAGCCTGGGTTGGCTGATGGAGTAAGAGTGACCACGTGGAGGAGATGTCACTCTCCCCATCCGTGGACATCTAGTCCAACCTACAGGGAGCTGACTCCCAAGTAAGTGAGTCTCAGCCGAGATCAGCAGAGCCAACTCCAACTCGCAGCTGATCCGCAAAGCATGAACTGTTCCAGCTGAGGTCAGAATTGCCCAGCCAATTTGGAGACTTATAAACAGTAGTGTTTATTTAAAAGCTCTTGATTCCAGGAATATTTACTCTGCTGCCATAACTGACACATTAACTTTGTATATATGAGCAAATGAAGTCACCTCTTTGGGCCTCGGTCTCCTCCTATGAAAAACAGGAGTCATCTGGGATGGTCATAAATATACTGTGAGCTCATGATCCTGAAGTGCTCAGCATAGGGTCTGGCTGTCACGGTCCCTTCAGACTATGATAAATTATCTGCTCCTGCACAGAAAATTGCCACCTTTAAGACAGCACCCTTTTACAACCCCACAGTGCCTGAGGGTAGGAGTGCAGGCAGGCATGCCTGGGTCCCTGCCAGGTCTCACAAGACCGCAGCCAAGGTGTTGACAGAGCTTCATTTTCATCTGAAGGTTCACCTAGAAGGAGAGCCTGTTCCCGAGCTCCACTGTTTGTCGGCACATTTACTTCCGCTTCCTTCTGGTTGTGTGACTGAGGCTCTGGGACATTTGCTGGCTCTCCACCGGAGGCAATCCTTGGGTCCCAGGGGTCACTTTCAGCTTCTATAGGAGTCTCTATAGCCAACAGATCCTGGCCATGTGGGCTTTCTTATCATGGCTGCTGCATTGACTTTTTGTTACTGTAAGAAAATACTTGACATAATCAAGCTACAGGGAGGAAAGGCTCACAGTTTCAGAGGCATCAGTCCTTGGCCAGTTGGTTGGTTCAGTTGCACCGAGGCAGGAGCCCTTGGTGCAGCAATAGGCTCACATCGTGGTGTCCAGGAAGCAAAAATAACTCAACAGAGACAGAAGAGAGTCAGGTCCCAATATCTCTTTCAAAGACACACCCTCAATGACTTAACTGCCATTAGACCCTACCTCCTAAAGGTTCTAGTTTGAAGAGACTCATGGCTTGGGGACTAAGCTCTTAACACAGGGGCCTTTGGGGACACTTATCCAAACAATAGGAGCTGCTCATGTCATCACACCGGCACAACTGCTCTAATCTGCTCGACACCATTGCCATACGCTGCTGGTTAGGAGCAGAGTCACAGGTCTAGTCCACACTGAAGCGGAGGGGGTGACACAAAGGTGTGGACACCAGGAGGTGGGAAGTCACCGGGGTCACCTTCGAGGCCGCCGCCACAGCTTGGCAGAGAGCTTCAGCTGTGGGTCCTGAGAGGTCCAGAGCTGTGTGGACCAGCCCGGGAGGTGCGAGTCCTTGCCTCTCACGGTTCCACCTCCGGCCCCCCTAACTGGGGTCAGGGGAAGTGGGTGCAGGACACAGGTGGGAGGGAGCTGGGAGCAGAAGGGGACAGAGAGCTCCCCTTTCCATTCCATCACCGATCCTTTCTCAGGCAGGTTGTTTGTGCCTCCTGTGCCTTGATGATCCCAACTGCAAAATGAGGCTCACAGGGACAGCAGTAGGATGGGAGGGTGCGGCATCAGGAGGCCCAACATTTACCACACCTATCGCTGGTATTCCGGCCTCTGCTTTCCAGGGAGCCCCCATTAATTCTCAGGGAATGCTCCCTCATTCTGCAGGAACCCTTGAGTCCCTGGGCCTCAGGGCCCAGGGAGACGTGCTCTGCCCTGTCCTCCAGGGCCCGGTTTTGCTCTGGGAGAGTTTCCCATCTGTCCTGTCATTGCTTCACAGTGGAAATGTAGGGCAATGAATTTTAAAAGGCATTAATATTTCATTCCTCACTCTTACACTCTGCTGAACAGTGTGTGTCATTTCTGGGAACAGCAAGGCCTGGTGGGGGATCAGCTGAGAGAGACCAGGCGACTTTCTCTGTGGAGAGTCTGACAGGGCTTCTTCCCCCACAAAAGCAGGGAAGGGCGACAGATGTCCAGGCCACCCTGGGCCCAACTTGGGGAGCTATGGCTGGGCCTGAAGGTCTCAGCACAGGGGCAGAAGAGTGGGGCAGGGACAAGCAGAGGAAGGCAGGGGCCCCCATGCAGACCTGGGTGGGGCTGGAGCTTCAAACATCTGCACACATACAAACATCCACAAACATGTCTTTACTTAGGAGGCGGGGGTGAGGGAGGAGGCTACCACTGACCCCATTCAGACTCATTCTGTGGACGGCCTCTCCCTCTCCCTCCTTAGGGGGCCCAGGCCTGAGCCACCAGCTGGTTTGAACTGAAGGCCCACCTTCCAGCAACTAGCCAGCCTTGACTCAGTTTCCTCTTCTATGCAGTGAGAATTACCAGAGCCTGAGTAGACCAGAGTTGAAACAGGAAGGGCTCTGTCACCTTCGGCTATCCCCCCCAGGTCAGATAAGCAACATTTGACAGGGCAATGTGGCACCGCCAAGGATCAGGAGCCACAGGAGGGACAAGGGAGGTAATAAGGGGAGGAGGCCAGGTCCTGGGACCCCAAGGGCTCATTTTATTTTGCCAGCAGCATCTGTTTTCTGCTTTTGCCTGGGGCAGAGCAGAGGGTGTTGAACAGCAGCAGTCCCAAGGCCAGGGCTATGCCCATGAGCAGCACCAGCTTCAACTTCAGAGGAACGAGGTCTGCCTTCCTGGGCAGGGCCTGGGTCTTGTTTTCTCTCTTCGGAGGAGCCAGCAACTCCAGGGTGGCCATGGGGTTGAACTGGGCTACTAACTCCTGTTCTACGAAGCACCTGTAAATGGCCGGCTGGAAGATCTGCAGCTGCTGGCCGCCAGTGGCCAGGTTCAGGGTGCTGTTGTAGCTCTTGCCTGAGAGCTCGTTCTGCCAGGTCAAGGGGATTTTGTTAGCCTCCCAGCTGATGGGCCTGCAAGGGAGACAAAGTCAGTCACAGGGTCTCAAGGAGAAAGGGGAATGGCATGAGAAAAGAGGTGGATATGGTGGCCCCTTTGCCCAGCTGGTATTTAGCAGGGCCGGGTGGGGACTGCATAGCTCCCTGCCATGGTCTTCGTCACCAGTTGTGACCTGGGCTGAGGCCTCCAGCTTCTTACCTGGAGGAAGAGGGTAATGATTGTACCTACCTCCCCACTAACCTGTTGGAGGAATGAGAAAGAACAGTTCCTAAGTGATGGGCTGGCCTGTTTTCCTGTCTGGCCTCACCTGCTCCATTCCCCTTGTTTGCCCTGCCCAGCCATACTGGTGTCCTAGATGGCTCTCCAACATGCTGGACACAGCCCTGCCTTGGGGCCTCTGGTCTGGCTGTTCCCTCTGCCTGCAATGCTGTTCCCTCAGTATACACAGCTCTCCACCACCTTTCATTCTTGCCCCAAATGGCTTTCTCAGGGAGGCCACCCCTGACATGCCTATTTACAATTTTAATGTTCTTTACTCCTGTTAGCCTTCATCATCATCTAAAATACATTTTAACTGGGGATATAGCTCAGTGGCACTGCGTCTGCCTGGCAAGCACAAGGCCCTATGTTCAATCCCTGGTATCAAACCAAAAAAAAAAAAAACACCTAAAATACATTTTATTTCTCCCTGAGGGCAGTAGTGCTAGTCATTTCTGTCCTTCACTGTGTCCATGTATTTAGAACAGTGCTGGGCATATAGACAGGCAGGGAAAATGTGACAATAAATGAGTTGAGCGCACAGTGTACCTAGCATGGTCACAGAACAGAGGTGGTTCTTACCAGCTAACATTGGGATAAGGCCAAAAAATCACAGAAGCAGCAGCTGATCCCTACATAAAGCCTGGTGTCAGACCGGGCTTTTTTTTTTTTTTTTTTGGTACCAGGTATTGAACTCTGGACCTTACACTTATGAGGCAGACAGAGGAACCACTGAGCTAAATCCCCGGCCTTACTCGCCCTCTTAAACCACGATGACCCCAAGAGGCCATGGTGAGCGAGTTGGGAAGTGGCCCCCTCTAATTCATGTCTTCCCCAGAACCTCAGGATGGACCCTGATTTGGAAATTGGGTTGTTGCAGGTAGAACTAGGTTAGAATGAGGTGCTAAGAGAATAGGTGGCCCTCGAAGCAATATGACCAGTGGCTTAAGGGAGACGGAGAGGCTATCGAGAGGTGAGGACATGGGGAAGGCAACCAAGTGATAGGATGGAGACAGAGCGAAGAGGGAGGCAGCCACAAGCCGAAGAAAGAAGGTCCAGGGTGCCCCACCACTACAGAAGCCAGGAAGAGGCAAGGAAGGGCTCCCCCAGCACAGGAGAGGGAGCACGGCTACATCGACACCTCGGGTTCACACCTGGGGTACACAAGAAGGAAACCCAGTAGAGGAAGGGGAGCCAGATTTTACAGCGTGTGCAGCTGCAGGGCTCCAGAGGTTACCCGGGCTCCATCTTACCAGTGTTCCACGCAAGAAAGGCCTTCGTGGGCATCTAGGGAAGGGTAAGAGTGCCTATGATCAGGTACATGGTATACAGGGTCTGAACTGCCACTTCCTGCCTTGGTCCCTCGGACAAGGACTATACCCTCAGAACCACCATTTCCCCTTCTATAAAATGGGTCTCTTCTGAGTCCACAGCACCAGGGGCAGGGAGGGTGAGGTGGGGCAGTGAGGTTGCTTTTCACAGTGGCAGTTTGTCCAGGCCCTGGCTACTGTACCTAGTGGGGCAGGGGAAATGGTAGGAAGAGGAGGTGAAGGGGAGATCTCCCAGAGGATCCACGCAGGAGAAAAGCATATGAGTGTGTGCTGTGACAGGCAGGGCCCTGGAACAGTTCTGGGGTCCTTTCCCCCAGGGCCTTTCAGACCCTTCCAGATGAGGCAATGATCTCTCGGGACCTGATTTGGGGGCTATCCCACCACATCCCATCGCTCCGCTCGAGCTCTTCCTGTTCCAGCTCTGACCACCCTGGCTATCTCCACCTTGGACATTGGGCTCCCTGAAAGAGAGGCCTGACACTACTGGCAGGACCAAAAGAGCTTGTGGGGTGCCTGAACAGAACCCCCACCATGCCCAGGCTCTCCCTGGACCAGCTGGATTGGGGACAGGGGCAGGGGTGGTACCCAGGGCTCATCACCTGTAGATGGATGCTAAGGGGCAGAGGAGTGACAAAGATTCCAACTCCTCATTAAACTGGAAGCTGTCAAAGATGACATAGCCCAGCTGGGCAAATGGCTCGTCACTGCACTCCACGAAGCAGGCTTCTACCTGAAGCTCAGGCCTCAAGCGGGAGGACCAAGATGGGGACTCCGCCAGGTAGAGCCCACAAGGCATGGGATCATCCAGCAGCTCCTCAATGTAGCAGTAGCCCAGGCGCTTGCGCTCGCCGGGCACTCCGCAGCGGTTACAGTCCTGCCAGGGCTCCCACCGGGTGAAGATGAGCTGAGCGCTGCCCACATGCAGGCTTTCGTTCTGCAAGGGCTTCTCCTCCAGGCTGTTGTGTGTAATGTGCAGGGAGCGGACGTCCTGGAAGTCAATCTCGAACTGGGTCACGTGGCTGCTGTTTTCCTCCCAGCAGTGGTAGAGGCCTGTCTGGGACGGCAGGGGGTTGCTAATGGCAAGATCGCCGCCCGATGTTATTTCCATGTTGGAGGCCATGGAGTTAATGGCGCCATTTTTTTTGCTTATGAAAAAGGAGTAGTTCCAGTGTGCCCGAGACAAGGGGCACTCAAGGAGGATGTCATTGTTAGACAGCAGGGCCAGCTGACATTTGTGGCCCTCGGGACAGCTGACAAAAGGGTATAAGCCCAGAATCGGCACAGAAAGGCTGAGAAGCAGCCACAGGGTGCTCAGCATGGTGACTGGCACGGTGGCAGTGAACTGGGCACCAGTAAAGACATTTGTGAGGTCACCATGAGCTCGGGCCTCAGGTCTCCGCAGTGAGATGAGCAGCAATCTGCTGCATGGGCTGTGAGGGCGTTGGCCCCTTTTGTTTTGTAACAAGCTGACCACCTTCCTTAATTTTTCTGCCAAGCACAAATACCACAGCTCTCTCACACTGCTTGGGAGCCATTTTGGACAACAAAAGCACACCACTGTGAAACCAAAGAATAGACCCCAAAAGACCCTGGCGTGCCAGTGGACTCACGCGATACCAGCACTCCGGTAGGCTGAGGCAAGAGGATGACAAGCTTGAGGCCCACTTGGTCAACCTAGGGAGTTAGCTCTGAGCTGGGGGTGGAGGTCAGTGTGAAGGCCTTGGGTTCGATCCCCAGCCCTGTCCCTCCAAAACTGTTAATAGGTCACAAAAAGGTTGCTTTTGAACATCATGAGAGCTGAACAGCATGAGCACTGGACCAAGAAAAGCAGTCTTGTTTGTTTGACCTCTGCTGGGAGCAGGCACATCGGAGGACTCTGGTTTTCCACTACCCGGCACCAGTCTGCAAATGGTGCTGAATGAGCTGTGGCCATGGCTTTTGGAGTGACAGAGAGATGCCAGGGAGTAGGCAGATCCATAAATCGGGAGCCCTCAGATAGGCAGGTCACCTGTAGAGATAACTGCTCAAGAGAAAAGCAGCAGGGAACGGGATAGAAAAAGAGAGTGGTGTGTGGGTTAGAGCTGCTTGGTGGCAGGTGGCCCAGCTGTCTGGAACCCTCAGAGGAAGTGAGGCTCCCCATGCACCTGCAAGGACTGCCACAAGTAGTCTCGTGGCTGCCTTGCTCAGGAGTCTGAAGAGCACAGAAGTCAGAGCGATGAAAGAGGAGAGGACAAAGGAGGGGTGGTGGGCTCAGAGATTCAGCTGGGTCTTTGCTGTTCATCTACCTGGCTCCTTCAGTCTGGAGGCTCTCCGTCATGTCTGCCCTGAGTGGGGACCACTGCAGGCTGCATTTGGCCAGTCTCCCTGAACTGTGTCCTCGATGGTCTCCGATCTACACAACCATCTAGGGTTTTTGTCTGCATCCCGGGACCCTAAGAATCCCCACTATCTAAGACACGATGAGGTCAGTGCCTCTGATGTTTTCCCTCTATCTCCTCTCTGTCTCTCTTTCAGCCTAGACAGTCTGTTCTAGAAAGACAGGAATGAAGGTGAGGCTGTGAGAAAACCTACTTCCAACTTTTATTTCATGTAGGTGGGAAGTGACAGGTTGGCTGGATCTGACCTGAAGGAATATTTTGATTGGCCCCCCCATGAATACTTTTAGAATATTTAAATTAGGGACCAACATATGGATCCAAGAGACTGCATGCGAGAATCCACATTCCCTGATAGTCTTGAAACAATGTAGGCAAGACTTCTGTTTATTGCTATAATCCAGACCAACACTCTCATTAATAACAACTGTAGGGGCTGGGGATTTAGCTCAGTGGCGCTGCCACCTGCCTTGCAAGTGCAACGACCCGAGTTTGATCCCTAGTACCAAAACCAAACCAAAACAAAACAAAAAACCTGTAGATTTTAAGGTAAGTATGATGGGGTCTGGTGATTGAGCACAAGGTTAGTGCATGGGATCCTCAGAGTTCAATCCCTAACCCACACATGAAAAAAGAGAATTTTGATGAATGTGGCTGAGAATGATGACAAGAAGTTTGAACCTTTACAGAAGAAAAATAAAATGGAAAACCTAAATTAAATAACAAATGTATTAAATTAAGAATTCACTGGAAGGAATAACAATGTATTTTTTAGCTATAAAAGGACAGAGGGTTAGTGAAATGAAAGATAGGGCAGTAGAAAAGATACCTTTATTGGAGCATGCTAGGGCAAAAGTAAAAGGGCTGGGGATTTAGGTCAGTGGCACAGTGCCTTCCCGGCAAGCGCAAGGTCCTGAGTTTGATTCCAGGTACAAAAAAAAAAAAAAAAGAAAAAAAAAGGCAGAAGTAAAGAAAACACAAAAGAGTGTGAAGCAGGTATATGAGAGATGGTGAAAAATTTTCACATACATGTAAATGGAGCCTCAGAAGAAAAGAAGAAACAAGACTAAAATCAATATATAAAAAGATAACTCACTGAAACCTTTAAAACTGCCAAGCGTGGTGGCTCACACCTGTAATCCCAGCACTCGGGAGACTGAGGCAGGAGGATCACTGTGAGTTCGAGACCAGCCTGAACTACATAGTGAGTTCCAGGTCAGTCTCAACTACATAGTGAGAACCTGTCTCAAAAAACCAAAAAAACAAAAAACAAAAAACAAAAAAACCCAAAACCAAAACAAAACAAAACCTTCAAAACTTACAAAAAATCAGCCAGGTGTGGTGGTGCACACCTGTAATCCAGCACTCTGGAGGCTAAGGCAAGAGGATCCCTGTGAGTTCGAGACCAGCCTGGGGCTACACAGTGAGTTCCAGAGCAGCCTGAACTACATAGTGAGACCCTGTCTCAAAAAACCTGAAACACAACACAACACAACACAACAAAATACTTACAAAAAAAAAATCAAACTACAAGATAAAGATCTTTGAATCCCACCCAGAATGTGCATAAAGAAAACCATTCCTAGGTATATTACAGGAAAATACTGCTGAAAACCAAAGAAGGCAAGAAGGTATCTTTAACATTCCAGAGGAGAAAAAGTTATTTTCAAAGTGATGAACAGGGGATTTTTAAATAGAGATAATGGAAGCTAAAAGACAATAGCGTGACAGCTTCTAAGCACTAAAAGAAGATAAGTCCCAATCGTGAATTGTATACTACAGTAAAACATTCTTGATTGGTGAAGGGAAATTTTCATGTGTGTTTCCAAGTGAAAAGCTAGAAAATTCAGCGTGGCAGAGCACACTAAAGTAATACAAAAGGAAACTCCCCTGGCTGCAGGAAAATGATCCCAAATGGATACAATGTAATGGAAAAATGAAAAGCACCAGAAGAGTAAGTTTAAGTATAAAACTAAATTAATACAATAATAATGTAAGGAGAATTTCTTGGGAGTTTAAAACGAACATAAAATTTAAAATACTTGAGCACAAAAGCATCACAGAAGAGGAAAAAATGGAGCTACAGGGTTATAAAGTTTCTGCATCATGTGGGAACACTTCTGGTACAAATTGATATTCTAAGGAGTAGAGAACCAACATCATAATTTATAGAGTAGAAAATAAGGGAGTGCAAGTCAAATAAGCTAAAAGAGGAAGAAATGGAACAACAACAACAAAAATAATAATAAACACTTAATGAAACCAAAAGCAACAAAATGACAGGACAGGTCCAAAGCAAATAGGGAGATGGTAGGTTGAAACCCATATATATGTGTAATTACACTAAATAAAAATGAACTAAATAGTTCAATTAAGATAGAAAGATTTTCATACTTAACTCCGAAACAAAAATCTAAATATATACCACTTAAAATACATTATTCTTTTTAAAAAATTTATTGCTTATTGGTGCATTTTAGGTATACAATTGTTACATTCATCATTGGGATCCTGTATCTTTACAAGACTTATCTTGGTTCTTATTTTTCCCCATTCCTCAGCCCTCCCTTCAGCCCCTCCACCTTTACACCTGTTTACCTCCACCTGTGTACAAAAACATTGTTTCCCAATTCCTTTCACAATAGCACCCCCCAAAAATGAAGTATCTGGGAATCAACCTAACAAAAGAAGCAAAAGATCTCTACACTGAAAACTATAGCACTCTGAAAAAAGAGATTGAGGAGGATTTAAGAAAATGGAAAGATGTCCCCTGCTCCTGGGTAGGAAGAATCAACATGGTGAAAATGGCCATACTACCAAAACTGCTATACAGATTCAATGCAATACCAATTGAAATCCCAACACTATACTTCACAGAACTAGAAAGAAGAATTCAAAAATTCATTTGGAACCGTAAGAGACCTAGAATAGCAAAAGCCATACTAGGCAACAGACGCATGGCAGTGGGTATAACAATTCCCAATTTGAAACTATACTACAAAGTCACTGTGATAAAAACAGCATGGTACTGACAGAGAAGCAGACCTGGGGATCAGGGGAACAGATTGGAAGACACAAAAAACAACTCCAGATGCACTCAGCTACCTCATCTTTGACAAAGGAGCTGCCAGTCCCCACTGGAGGAAAGATAGCCTCTTTAATAAATGATGTTGGAAAAACTGAATCTCAACCTGCAAAAGATTAAAATTAGACCCTTATCTGTCACCATGCACTAAATAAAATCCAAGTGGATTAAAGATCTAAACATAAAAACAAAAATACTAAACTTGCTGGAAGATAAATTAGGCAGAACTCTGGAAGACACTGGCATAGGAAAAGACTTTATGAATAAATCCTCAGTAGCACGGGAACTAGCAGAAAGAATCAACTACTGGGATCTCATCTTATTAAAAAGCTTCTGCACTGCAAAAGAAAACATCAACAGAACTACCTACAATGTGGGAAAAACTTTTTACCAGTTGCTCCTCAGACAAAGGACTATTATCCAAAATATATGAAGAACTCAATACAACCAGCCCCCACAAATATAAAGACCCAATTCTAAAGTGGGCATCTGAAATGAACAGACATTTCTCAGACCAATAAATAAAAGCAGCAAGTAAATATATGAAAAAATGCTCCACATCATTGGTCATTCAAGAGATGCAGATGAAAACAGCACTGAGATTTCACCTCACCCCACAAAGAATGACTGCTATCAAGAAATCACACAATAACAAATGTTGGCGGGGTTGTGGGGAGAAAGGAACCCTTCTCCATTGTTGGTGAGAGTGTAGACTGGTGCAACCACTGTGGAAGTCAATATGGAGATACCTCAAAGAACTAGGATTAGAGGTTCCATTTGACTCAGCCATCCCTCTGTTGGGTATCTTTCCAAAAGAAGTGAAAGAATCATACCACAGTGATATATGCACACCCATGTAATGGCACAGTTTGTAATAGCTAAAACTTGGAAATAGCCCATCTGCCCATCAATTGGAAACTGGATGAAGAAGATGTGGTTTTTCCACAAAATGGAATACTACTCAGCCATAAAGAATGAGAAAGTAGATTCATTCATAGTTAAATGGGTACATTTTGAGGATATACTTCTAAGTGAAATAAATAAGGCACACATATGCAAATACTGAATAGTATCTCTGGTGTGAAAAACTATAATAGTACACAAGATCCTAATGGGACACTTAGCAAATTGGAAGAAAAGGACCAAAGGTGTAGGGACAGTGAGAAG